TGTTCGGACATATACCCTTGTAACTTTTGAAATGTTTTATTTAATAATAAAATCATAAAAAATAATAAAAATCGTAAAAATAATAAAAATAATGTTAAAAAATAACAAAAAATTAATAAAACATTTATAAAATAAAAACTAATTTAAAAACGTAAAACAAAAACATTGTTGCCTCTGCTACCCCCAGCACCAACAGCTCCCATCACCGGAGGAAATCCGCCGAAATTTTTAGTAATGCCATAATAATGGCAGATTCAATGAAAACTTTAACATTATGAAGAGTAATAATGTCATTTTCTTAGCATTTTCAGGAAAAATGGCATTTTTTTACAAAAAGTCGTAGAATTTTCACATATCGGATGTGATGGTGCTGAGAGGCGATGGGAAAGGTATCCATTTTTTATGGGTTTTTACAATTTTTTTAAATTAAAAAAAATATTTTTAAAATTTTTATTTTATAAACATTTTATGAATTTTTATTTTTTTAAATTTTTACGTTGTTTTAAAATTTTTTACGATTTTATTATGACTTAAAACATTTCATTATGAATTAACACCCTTAGGGATATTTAGGATATAAAATCAATGTTTAGTCCTATTTGGGAAATTTAAAAAGTAATAGTCCATTTGTACTTTTCAGAAAAACTTTAGTCTTATTTAGGACAATAACTATTAAAAGAATTGTCACTAGTGTTAAACAAATTACGGCGTATTTTTTTTAATGAAAATAATATATATTAAAATTAACAAATCAAGCAACATTACAATACACTCAAGATCATAACAATCCAAGACATAAGCCCAATGATGAGACTTTGACTCGGCCACCTACAAACGAGTCATAGAAGTCGCTAACCATGTAATAAAGGCTAAAGGGTCAAATAAGCCCTCGAACCAACTTAAAAAGTGCAAATCATCCCTTCTATATGAGGCTCTGTCCGGCCGTCGCCATTTGGGGAGGTTTCTGGTGGAATTTTTTGATAAATTTTTTTTAGCGTCTTCTTCACTAAGTCTAGTTTAGCCATACCACATTTCAGATAAAATTTCAACCGGAAAGACAATCAAATGATATTCGGAAAGACAGTCAGATAAGAGGTGATTTGCACTTTTTAAGTTAGTTCGAGGGCATATTTGACCATTTAGCCAATAATAAATAAACAAGTCACCGGTTTCCAATTAGTTCGAGCCGTAGCTTGATTCCATTGTACCTGTAGATCTGTCTTGATTCCACAGAGACCGGAAAATCAATAATATTTATTCTAATCTTATACTTAATAAGATTTCGTACTACTCTTTCCTCCTGTGGCGGTGGTTCTGGAGGAGGACAGATCAACGGTGTCATCATAGATGGGTTGAGAAGCATAAATATACTTGAGAAAAACATATCTAAGACTTGATGAATAACATCAATAACAATTGAACAATAGCATAACCTCATGGGAGCATGTTCATCATTTATTTGAGAAGCAACCACTCATAGAATGATCATCAAAATTGACAAAAGAAGAACCCTAAAATTTTTAGAGAATAAAACACCACTCATACGAGTGCATAGATTACTTTTTTACTTATGAATGAACTCCATACTGTGAAGAGTAATTCTCCTTTGACCTTCAAACTGAGAGAAGCAAGGTGAAAACAAAGGAAAACACTGGATGCAATGCTTTTTCCGCCCTTGAAGCTGGTTCAGATCACCTCCTAACCCTAGGGTTTGAGCGGCGACTACATATTGGGTATGTTTTTTTATTAAAAAATGGAGTAAGTAGTTGTACTAACAACATTAACAAAATGTATATGATACTTATATAACAATAGTTGGTAAAAAAAATAAATTGATATTCTAAACCCATTGAACAAGTTATCAGCTTATTATAAACAAACATTTAACTAAACATTATTGTATAAACCTCTAATACTATCTGCTCATCAAAACAACCAACAGAATCCGCTGATATTTAAGAGCCAACACAATTAGCAAACAACCAATCACCAAGAACTAATTGCCAAACACCCTCAGAACACTACTAAGGTCTTTTTTTTGAATATTACAAAATTAAATTTGAAAGACAAAAATATTATTTATTTAAAAAATTGCCAACCCTATTACATAACATATTATTTATGCCATTTATTTAATATTACATTTATTACTATAATATTCCTTTTTAATAGTTAATTAGTTATTATTGTCTAGTAACCAACAACAACAACCACCGTCAGTGATGCAACCAGTAACACCGTCACCGTCATCACTACGCACTGGACCGCATTAAAGACTTCCTTCTATGTCACTTCATCTCTTAGTGACTTCTCCCACCCTCATTAGTCAATGGGCTGCACTAGTGAGCACCATCTATGTCATTGCATCCCTCGTGACCGGTGATGTCGCCAGTCATGACTCACTCTGAAACCCCAATTACACCACTGGCACCCCGATCATGTCGTCGCCCCGGCCACTGACCCCCCCCCCCCCCCCCGACCAATTTACACACCGTTGTCCCTGATCAATCAACACCGCTGCACTGATATCCTTCAATTGCTCCCTATATCCTGATACAACAGAAGAAAATTTTGTTTGTGAAAAATCAAATAAGATGTAGGAAAATTGAAGGGATGAAAAGAGATCAAGATTAAAAGTAAATGTATCAAGAAAGGACATGGAGAGCTCATCTTGGAGTATTAGGATGTTTACTTTTGGACTGTTTCAGTCCCAGACCAGACAAGACCACACTTACATAGTTATAAAGTACATGGAGACTAGACATTCCCCAGACTAGACCCAGCAAATTCCAATCCAAAAGAAAAGATCTCTATAGATCTGCTAAGTCCGTATTCTGATACACATTTGATGCGTGTTGAGATCGGCTTTTGATGTTTTTCATAGCTTAAAGGTGTCATAAGTCTCATTTTTAACTCAAGTCATATTTTACCAGGCGTTGGTTCGTGTTTTCTATTTTTGGAGTCAAGATTAGGGAATTAAGCCCAACACTGGCATTTGAGTAGTAATCGGGACGAGTCAAGACACATTTGAGAGTTGGTTAGGAGCATCGGAGGTCAATGAGGTGTTAAAGACGAAGTCTTGAAGATAAAAAAGCTCTAGAATTGGCTACGGGATCAAAAGAAGACGAATAGAGCTTGAAAACGACGGTCAGGATGACACTCTATCAATCGTTCAAGCATATATTTTCGTAGAAACATCCAAAGAACATGATTCAACTTCCATATGAAAGCTAACTTCAAGAGATACAAATCATATGAAGACGCCATTACGAGATTCTGAGAGTAGCAAGGTGAAAACAGATGATGAAGTCAGATAATCTCTGTTAGATTTCAGAATGCGACCTTCCACCATTTTATTCAAATCCAGTTTTGCAAGTTGTGGTAAATAAAGGACTACATTTTCTATAACTTTAATGAAGGAAGAATCGTCAAATTCGGAAACGAACGGCGCACTCCGTGCACCCAAAGTCGGGCACGTTGTGCCCTCTAAAGGAAACAACGAAGACCTTACTGTCGGTCAGGCACGTCGTGCGTGCCAGTGAGGCATGTCGTGCCTGAGCCCGGGGCGCGCGTTTTACTCCGCAGGCACGGACGCCAGGCATGCCGTGCCTAGCGCCGTGCCTACGTCCGAATTTCCTAATTTGAGCTGAATTCATCCATTTTCTTTAAATATGGCCTCTATTTCCCCGTTTCAGGAGGACAGAGCTTACATAGAGGCATAAGGACGAAATTTCCATTGTTTTCCGCTTTATTCTTCAAGATCTTGGGATTGATGAATGAGTTAATTATGATGTGTGGCTAAATTATGATGGATTAATTACATGAATGTGTTTAGTTTGTGTTTGAATGATTTAATTGATATCTTTTGTAATCTAGAAGTGCAGCTTGGTTATAATTGCTTATAGAATAAATTAGGAGATATCTAATTTATTCTAGGATACCTTCAACCACACTTAATTGTTCGCTAAGAGATTAGTAACGATTAAGCAGCCGTACGCTCGCTCGTTTTGACAATAATTTAGGATCCTGTTGCATGAGAAATCAACCTGGTTCCCTAAACTATTGTACTCTACGCCGCGAGAACGGTTAGAGTTTAGTATTGACTAGCGTTGTTCATTTAAATTAATTTCATGTGATTATGTCTCATCAACCAGAAATCTGATTACCCGGAATCAATCCATGTTCCCTTCATCGTTAATTAGAAAGAACCAATCTATTTTTATTCATTTGCTTGCATTTTAATTTTCCATCATTCCAAATCCGCTCCATTACATTTTTTTTAATCGCTAAATTTAGTTAATTCTTAATTCCCCTTTTCCGTCCGTGAGACGATACTCGTACACACGCCTCATACTACTATTTACTCCCTCCGATTCTGAAAGATCTTTACACTTTCCATTTTTATCAGTACCACAATTATCTCTACACTTCCTTATTTACCTTATTTGGCAAATAAATCTACACAAAACAGTGTCAAACATTGTCAAACAGTGTACTCTACAGTAAAGTCAAATTTATTTCCTTAAAAACTGTGAACTCAAAGTGTCAAGATCTTTTGGAATCGGAGGGAGTATATTTTAAGTGCCAGAAAATTAACGCCAAGATCGTAAAGGACCTAGCGAGTCAACTTGAAGATCGTAAAGGGACCTAGCGAGTCAACTTGAAGATCGTAAAGGGACCTAGCGAGTCAACTTGAAGATCGTAAAGGGACCTAGCGAGTCAACTTGAAGATAGTTAATAATTATGCTAATGATATTAATATCGTTGGGGGGCCCTCAGGGGTTTGGGACCCTCAGGGATGATGCTAATGATATTAATATCGTTGAAGATCCTTTTTTTTATGATGATATTAATATAAACTATTTTTCCTTTGCATATTATAGATATGGAGTATAGATACCAAAAGCTAGTCTCTCTCTCACACACATCTTTTCAAAACTTAGGACTTCAATTCATTGGCTGAATATTATAGATTGCCTCACAGGCCTAAAGCATGGAACAAAAAAAAACTAAAATGTTAATTAGAAGGATACTACAAGCTCCCAATAAAGATACACAATATCAAGTCATTGTACATATTTTTTTGTGGGACAAGGTAAGAGATGAGGAACAAGTGGTGTATAACAACACTCACTGGCTCACTCTTTCCAAATACCGTTATTGAATTAGACAAACTACAAGGTTAAAAGCATTAAATATCGAACAGTCTATACTTGTGTATATAAAACAGAATAACTATAAGCAAGCAGGATGTCTGGAAGCAGGAATGACATTATATGCAAAGCCAATTACACCACTAATCCGCCTTCTCAGCGTGTTGAGACGCCTTGGACATTGCAGCAGAACGCTTGTCTTCAGAAGTCTTGGCAAGAATCTCGTCCCTCTCCTTAAAGTACCTTTCGAATGCCCTCGGGAGAAACCGAGGGATCAAAAAGGCAAAGAGATTTATGCAGAAGTAGGCCATGTTAGCCGCTGCAAGCACCCTCCCGAACCAAAACCATGCCACTTCCTGAAACATACAAAGATTAATCTATGTTAGACTTGCCGACTTGTTTAATCCCGGGAACTTACAACCCGGTCACCGTCTCGTAGACTAGACATCGAAGTGAGCTACAGGGGATCTAAGGATGCAGCTTTTCGGGCTATTACTAAGAGGAGTAGCCCATATAGCGATTTATTATGTTATACCAATCTGGTGTAGGACAATGGAGAAATACTTCAACAACTATTGCCATTCCCCTAGTCAGCTTATGACTGGGCTTAAACCGGTTGGTACTGCTATGAGGTAAGGCAGTTAAGGGATCTATTTTCCACAAAATATCAGTTATAGTAACTACTACTAGAACAAGATTACCCAAGTGCAGCAAAGGCTTCCAACCTACAAGGGAACACAACCCCAAGTGCCACAAAGCTCCCAACCTACAAGGGAACACAACCTTGCCCCGTACTAGGCAGGATTTAGCGAGTCATTTTATTTTATTCCATCTAGTAACTATTCACTCATTTTTTATAAGAATTTATCAATAAGTTTACTTTAGAAAATATCTTAGAAAAACCCATTAACTAATAATGTAGCTACAAGCATTGGCCCCTAAGAGCAGGGCTGTTACTAGTGTTTCTCACCCTGTCACAATCCGGGACCGGGCTAACACTCTGCCCGTTCCAAAAAATAGAACCATGTTTTCTTTACCTTTAACTGTGCATTTGCAGGTAATGACTTGTTAATCCAAACATCATGCATCCAATCAACAATGACAAAGATCCTGCGAACCGTATAAAGCAAAGGGACTAGAGCTCGAACGGGCGGTGAGAAGATGGACAAACCGCTTATGATATTCTCAGTTAGTATTTGGAAGGATAGGAGGAAGAGATGAGGAGTGGCGGATCGGACCGCGTGCTCATCGCCCCTCGCGAACCCACCCAAAACATAAGCCAACGGCAGAAACAGCCCCAATGTGGTGCCAACCACCACATAAATGCGGAACAACCAACTCCCTTGAAAGATCTCCTGTGATCCATTGGCAGTCCTTCCATGAGAGGGGAAGGCTACCCGGGACAACAGGAGTAGATAAGCGGTCGAAAGCGCGGGGAAGACGAGATCGAGTAGCGGGACGAGCCCGCTAGCTGAGAACACCATGATGAAAGCGACCAACTGAAGCTCGATCACCCGGAGAGATCCCATTATACCCACTGCCTGCTTTTGTTCTGGTGACTTTTGTTGGTTCATATCTGAAGACACAGCTAGGGACACCCCTGACATTTTGCCAATTCACTTGCAAATTGTTGGGTGCTCTGGGGTTGAGATTGAACTGTCATCATAGCAAAAATAGCATTTACTGCATACTATATAGAAGAGGAATGGAAGATAATAATGGGAACCTAGCTAATTCCTTCAAAAAGATAAAAAATTGGTACTGAGCCATTCGGAAACAATCTCTTCGTTTCCGACCATAGATAGTTTATAGCAATGTTTTGAAATTTTCACATAACATAAATTTCCATCATAGGTTTGAAATTTAGAAATATACCAAATTAATGACAATAATCAAAGCAAGAAAACTTACTCAATGCTGCTAGTTAAATGTATTGCTTGATCGAAAACTGGGAGTGAGATATGAGTGTAAAGGGCAGCCAAACTTAATTGCAGAAGAGATCGTTTGAGAAGTAAATTAAAAGAAAGAGATGTGAAGAAGAAAGCAAAGATTTGATCCAGAGGAGGCTAGGAAAGAGATTGGGATGATCTTACATTCATCTCACAAAATGCTGACACGTGTAGCTGAACTGGCGAGTGAGACACGTGGATGCGGCATGTCGAGACACGTGTGGCTGGAGAAACTGGTGGTACCTCGTACATGTCGCCTTGGCATGCGTCTTTCCTACCGATGCAGAGAGACATTTTCAGTTTGAAAATTGAAACCATGAAGTTAGTTTAAACTTTAAATAGGAACGATAAAAGTTGTTGTTGATCATATCGATTATATATTTATACACCCTAATATTTATAATATGAAAAGATTTTTTGTTAAAAATAATATCATAAAAATATAAATTTATTATTTTTGACAGAGTTAAAATGATTGATCAAAGTTAATCACATTTAAAGGGACATACATAGTATCATGAAATTTCATGAACTACATTTTTTTTCCAAAAATAATATATGGCACGTGTTTAGATATCTCAATTGGCTCAACTAGTGCACATGCCAACTTCTGAGGAACCCAATAAACAGAGAAGGAACTACAGGGGGCAACATAGGACCCGATTCACCTCAAATTCTTTAAAAATTAATTCTTAAGTTAAATATATTTTTTATACCGGTCCAATCCGGATCAGTGTTCACCCCTATCCATCGGGATGCTTCGAATAGGATCTCCCGCTTGGGATATTCTCGACACTTGATGCTTTCTCCGCTAGCCTTGACTGTCTCATGGAGAGCTCTCCAAAGCAATTGGCAGGAAGACTAGAATTGTGGCGAAGCACATTTAATGCATCAGATGTGGGAGATTTTATGATTATGGCTATCCATTGAGGGCTTGACACATCATCCCTTCACCTATTACCTTGTACTACATACTCGCATTTATGTCGTTGTAAAGGGTTGACAAACTTGCATACTATTATAGAATATGCTTCTCTCTAGTTATTATGTAATCTTTCAGAGTAGAATAAAGGGTCACAGCTCGAGCAGGACAAGAGTGCGTTGTAATCATTTTAAACCCATAAACTTGGCCCGATTTGTTTCTTATCTTGCTTGTTATTGCCTCTCTTTTTCACATTGCCTTAAACAAACACACCAAAATACCCAGTGGCGGAGCCACTATAGTTCAAGAGTGTTTAATTGAACACCTAAAACTTTGAAAAACATGTTAGTATACATGTATAAATTTAATTTAATTATTTATTGTTCTTTCAAATTTTAATTGTACAAAAAAATGAACACTCAAAACATGAATCATAAATCCGCCACTGAAAATACTCTAAACGATAAAGGATGATACGGGAGTTCAAAATACTGTGTTGAACCTTTAGACTGTGTTCGACCTCTGGACCGCGCGGAAAACCTAAAAATGAAAGTAAAATAGTTAAAATGGGATCAAAAGAGTAGCATCTTCCTAAAAATAGGATTACATGTCTGTTTTTCTTTAATATGACTAAACGTTATATATCTACTCTTAATTTAACTAATTCATATTATTATTATTATTGTTATTATTATTATTATTTATATTATTATTATTGTTATTATTATTATTATTATTTATTCCCGATTTTCCTTGCATAACTAAATTATTCTATACCTAAAAACACTACACTGGAGAAAGAAAATTCTCCCGCCTAAGCATTCACCACCTAAAATCCTAAAATATAATTTCACTTTCCGCAAAAAAAAATCATCATCCTATACCTAAAAGCACTACAATAGTGTAATTTCACTTTCCGCAAAAAAAAATCATCATCCTATCCTATATACCTAAAAACACAACACTGGAGAGAGAAAATTCTCCCGCCTAAGCATTCTCTGTTTATCCTATACCTAAAAGCACTACACTGGAGAGAGAAAATTCTACCGCCTAAGCGTTCTCCGCCTAAAATCTAAAATGTAATTTCACTTTCCGCAAAAATAAAAGCATCGTCCTCCTATACCTAAAAACACTACACTGGAGAGAGAAAATTCTCTCGCCTAAGCATTCTCCGCCTACAATCCTAATATGTAATTTCACTTTCTGCAAAAAAAAAAATCCTATACATAAAAGCACTATACTGGAGAGAAAAAATTCTCCCGCCTAAGCATTCTCCGCCTAAAATCCTAAAATGCAATTACACTTTCCACAAAAGAAAAATCATCATCCTATCCTATACCTAAAAGCACTCCACTCGAGAGAGAAAAATTTCCCGCTAAGCATTCTCCACATAAAATTCTAAAATATAATTTCACTTTCCACAAAAAAATATCACCATCATCATCATCATCCTATACCTAAAAGTACTACACTGGAGAGAGAAAAAAATATCCCGTCCAAGCATTCTCCGCATAAAATCCTAAAATATAATTTCACTTTCCACAAAAAAAATATCATCATCATCATCATCATATACCTAATAGCACTATACTGGGGAGAGAAAATGTTCCCACCTAAGAATTCTCCGTAAAAATCCTAAAATGTAATTTCACTTTCCCAAAAAAAAATCATACGGAGTATATACTTAAAAGCACTACACTGGAGAGAGAAATTACATAGGAGGACGATGCTTTTATTTTTGCGGAAAGTGAAATTACATTTTAGATTTTAGGCGGAGAACGCTTAGGCGGTAGAATTTTCTCTCTCCGATGTAGTGCTTTTAGGTATATAGGAGGACGATGCTTTTATTTTTGTGGAAAGTGAAATTACATTTTAGGATTTTAGGCGGAGAATGCTTAGGTATGAATGAAGTGTTTGAGGTTGCGTGTACAATATATTGCCTCGTGTCTTTCAGAACCACAAACGATATATGTCTAAAGTCATCTCTGAATATAATCGACTTCCCACTAAATTAAAAAGCAAGTTTGCATCCCAATGAGTGGCAGAGCGAAGGACACCTTTCATACTTCAATTCACCAAGAGCTCTAAAAACTATTGGGGTGCCATTGATATTGCATTTAAGATTAAATATTAATATTTAAATATAGTTAAACGGATACTATATTTAAGATTAAAAAATTCATTATACTTTAGTGAGTACTATATTTGAGATTAAATACAATTTATTAACAGGAAAAGAGTCAAATAAACTCTTCTACTATTTCCAATCCGTCTCTTACGCCTTTATACTAAAAAAGTATCATATAAGTACATTACTTTAAAAATTGGTCAATTTGTCCATTTAATCACTTTTTGACCTGCAATAGCAGGGGTTTTTTTAATTAAAAAAACTCTAAAGAAATTGTTAAACCTGAAGAAATGTAGATAAAATGTGAAAATTTTCATAATGTCAAAGTCAATATCTTTGAATTTTTGAAATTATTTGTATTTCTAAATCTATTGTATATTCTACATCTATTTAAAATGCTTCCTCATTTTTTAATTCATAGTTTTTACATTTTCACTTTATTTTTTCAATTTTCTGCTTTTTATATTTTTTATTTAAACATTTTTAAATTATTTATCTAGTTTTACATTTATACTATTTATATATTATTATTAAATTATTTTTCAAAATTATATGATTTTTATAAGATTTATTAATAGTCCTAATTTGGTATATTACAACTAACCTGCTATAATAGGTCAAAATGGCTTGATTAATTGTATTTGAAAAGCAAGCGTACCTATATGATGTTTTTTAGTAAAAGGGTTTCAGTGATGGATTAAAAATAATAGAAGAGTTTATTTGACCTTTTTCTCTTTATTGACTATATTTAAACGGGTACTATATTTATGACTAAATATTACTCCGTGATGTTTTAAAAGGAAAAAACAGTTGCTTCAAAGGATTGTAGATTTAATATTGATTGAGTTTAATAAAATTTAGTAGCCCTAAATTTTAAATATAAATTGAACATCGATTAGTCAAAACTAAAGGTTGGAGAAAAGTGCACATAAATTATTTAATAAAAGTGTAACTCATTATTTATGTTGATTGTTTTTTCTTAAAGTAGTAACACTTTCTCTCAAAGTAACTTGAAATTATTAAAAAGTACTTCCTAATTTACCCGTGCTTCTAATATATTATGAAATTATCAAATAAGTAATTGCATTTTATTTAGAGTTCAGAAGATTGGTTTTGCAATGGGATATTGGGATATGGTTAATTTATATTATAGCTACACCCAACACACAAATGTGTCCTTTATGAAAGTTAACTCTTGATCTTGTAGAATTGAGCGGGAATTTAGAATAACAAAGTGATAAGGGTGATGAGGCTATGTCATATGTGTATAAGATCTTAATGAAGTCCCAAATAAATCATGTAATTAAAATAGCCGAGCTTTGGGATAGGGAAAGATACTCCGTATGAGGGATTTCGAAGGCATTCTTCAGTAGGAAAAATGAGATTAGTGCATTATTACATAGATGGATCTCCAGTAGAATTGTTTAGAATACACTTATCTACAGAGTACAGACTACAAAGTAACATAAGACCAGAATAGAAGTTTGGTATTTGCCTGCTCGCAGGTATTTTAGTAGCATATTAAGAGTGGGCATAGTGATGAGGGGGGAAATAATCCAAACATGTGGTTAATAATATTTTTACTGTTTTGCTTTATGCATAAAAAAATCAATAGCAATCAAAGATCAAAAAGACTGTTTTGTATAGTCTTAAAATTGCTACTCTTATGTATGTGTAAGGTATTCATGCAAAATACTTCTTCACTGTTTAGCATATAAAATCATGTATACTGGTCATAACAGAATTTGAGCCAACCGCAACAACAATAGCTCTTACTCTACCTTCAACCACTTTGATGCTCTCTCCGACAAAGAGAAGGTTATCTAATGTAAAGTAAACAAAATTGCCTCAATCAGAAAGTGCAAATAAGACTAACCTAACCTTCAATAAGTCTATCAAACATCAATGGACATGCAAATAAAAGAGTGATCGTTCACCAATCACCACAAAGCATAGGCATCAAACAGAAAGCATTTCACATGTGCGTTGCACGGGATGTAATTTTTAAACATTAGAAAAATAAAATATACATGACCATAAAAATATTTATAAATAGGATCAT